CAGCACAGGTAGGAGAGAAGGCCACAATCTGGCTGTAGCAATCCTAGCCTGGCCCCTTGCCCAACCACTGCTGCTGCGGTGCAGCAGCCCAGCCCCGACCAGGTAAGGTAATCCGGCTCCAGGTCCCCCCCCACACACTACTTCCCACCTCCAGCGCCCTTCCCTGCCTCCTGTATCTCCCACACACCCCAACTCCCTGCCCTGTGCCCCTCATATATCCCAGCCCAGACTCCTGCACCTCCACATCCCGAGCCCCCTATCAGAACATTCCTGTACCAATCATACACCTGAACCCTTTGCCCTGAGCCCCTCGTGTACCCTAATCCTGACTCCTGCACCCCCACATCTCAAGCCCCCTGCCATAAGATTGACAGAAGATAGCCTGAATGTGTGCATGAAGCTGAATTTGATCAGTCATGATGTAAACTTCAAAGAAATCTGCAAAAAGATGCAGCAGCAGAAGTCCCATTAAATAGTCTGTTAGTAAAATGTTTCATTTATGGTATTATTAATCATCATGTCAATTATCAATAATATTAAGTTGTATATTTTCAGTCATGTAAACGGGCATACTCCTTGTTGACCACTTGTTCTGAATTTTGATGTAGTTTGGCTTTTTGGTTTGAAAAAGTTGCCGACCCCTGATTTACTATAGGATTGCTCCTTGCAGTATATTGCTCTCTTTAAGTGCTCTGCCTTTCTTACATTACAAACTACACAGAGTATGAAGGGGCTTCATAGCATATTGCATGAAAGAATGAGTACAGCTTGATAAGGCACATCATTTTCTAGGCATCTGTTTAAAACACCTCTGATAACATATGTTACTTTTCTCATCTGAGCCACAACCATGGCTTCACAGCTTCTCGTGGCTCCCCTTAGCTGGAAACAGCAAACTGGAGCCAATGGGAGCCACAAGGTTCCGTGGCTACAGACCCTTTTAAACAAAATGGCATCAGCCAGTTAGCAGCTTTCCCAAAGCAGTTCTGAAACCCACTGTGAGAATCACTGCTGTAGAATATCTTCTCTTACAGACTTCAACTGCACAAGACAGTGCTCCACACTATTGGCTTATTTCACTCAGCCAATTCATCTCGATTCTGGCTTTGTCAGTTTTTTGTCCTAATCTTTGCATCCTTAGGCACTTTTATTCATTACACAGAGTTGTAATGTTTAACCATTACATAACTAGTTGTGACTTCTCCCCCCAATCTGATATTTGAGATGGCTACAAAAATCAAAGTCAGAATAGCTATGGTAGCTGAGCACCTCGCAACATTGAATTAATCCTCACAACATCCTGTGATATGGCAGAAGTAGCAGCTAGTTCTACATGAAAACTAAAACAAACATACAGTTCTGTATTTTCACCAATCATTTCCCCAAAATTCCAGAAGGCTTTTTTTTTTAAATGAATTTAGATGTCTGTGTCTGGAATGTGCATTCCAAATCATCACTTCACACTGCTCTCAAGAGTGTAGAAGTGTTACTGATAAACAGCAGTTGGCTTCATTTGAAAGCTCCTAAAATAAATAACCATTGACTCAGTCCTCTGATTTTTTTCTATTCACAGTACGACAGAATTCTAATCTCTTCTACAGCAAGGCAGTGAGAGAGCTAGAAAATCATTGTGTGTGTGTCAAGAGGCAAAGGAAAACTCAAAACTGAGTGTTGTCTGCATATTGCTGGCATTTAAAACAATGTCTCAATTTCCCTTAAAAACTCTGGTGTACATGTTAAGAATGATGGAGAAGAGAATCAACCTTCATGAGACTTCCTGAGTGCTCCAGAGATAAAAGAGCCGTTTTCCAATCACCACACTCTGTTACTGTCTTGAAAGGAAGGAATAAAAGCCAATTCAGTATCTTACAATGTATTCCTGCCACTTTACAAAGGTTTTTGAGACTGATACACACACAGGTAGTAAATTTAGCAGATCTAGTTAAGACCTGTCATATAACCTAAAGATTGCTCTCCTATTGATCCTGTTACTCTACTCTGGACGAGAAAAGCACAGGAAGTTAATGGGACAGTTTCTCCTGATGACCCCAAATGGTGCAGAGCCTACAGTAACTTGACTTTAAGGTATGTCGATTCCAGCTATGTTACTAATGTAGCTGAAATTGAATAGCTTAGGTCAACTTTCTATTGTAGTGTAGAGGTAGCCTGAGGCAGGACAGTAGAAAAGGTGCGAGAACTAAGGATGCAGGAAGTGTTTTCATACTGCCTGGCTTGAAGTGGTTTCCATTATAAGCAGGGTTTACAGTTTCATTCAATAAATAAGCACCCCAATATAAAAATTGTTCTTGCACCCCTGGACAGCAGTATGATCTTTGTATAAAAACGCCAAAGACAGATCCAGAAACATGAGTATAGACTTTCTGCAGTTTATAGGCTGGAGGTGATCATCCGTCTGTCCCACTAATGCCATCTTGATTCTGACTTGGTCTTAAACCCAGTTGGGAGGGATGCAGGATATTGATGATAGATGTATTTGGAGATAGCCTGAAGCTCGTTTCTAATTTAATTTGCTCCAAAAAAAAAAGAGGTTAGTCAACAAGCAGTAATCTGTGAAATTAAAGTTAAACGTAAATAGGCCAGACTGTGGCATGTTTTACCGGGTAGCTTTCTCTCATCAAAGATGGTGTTGAGTTGACAATCTCTATATCATCCTCAGATGTCTTTAACTAGCACATGATGAGAACAGATCAATCATCAGTGGTGAATCAGATTTCTTGCAGCAGTCCTACAGTTTCTTGGTATGTGAATGAGCTAAATTCACTGGGAGGGGAAAGGTGCTTTCTGACTTAGACTTATGAATAACTGCTGGTGTCCTGATCATATAATGTTGATGGCTCTGAAGGAATTTGTTACTGGGATATAGGGAAGAAGTTTGGATTAACAAGGTGGTTCATAATCTTGAAATTTCCCCAGGCTCTTACATGTAAAATTGATGACATATTAATTACAATAGAGAAAAACAGCTTGTGCTGGAGTTTAACTGCCAGTTTTCTGTCAGTGCCATTTGTTTTCTTTCTGCATGTTTCATCTTACCAGAAAACTATGGCGATCTGCTGGAATGACTGCAAGGGTACTTTTAGGTACCAGGCTGATCAACAGCAGAAGCCAGTTCACAAGGTCAAAGTCTCACCAAATCTTCCATTCTTGAGTCTTCAGTTGGGTAATGTTTTCATTGAGGATACTTTGGAAATTATTTGGGACTACAAGTTCATAGAATAGGGGAAGGTTACTAATAAAACCTTCTTTCTGCATGATACCTAAGTTCTTATATCAATTAGAGGTTTATAGTGGACTCTCCAAGATAAAGGTCAGTTTCTTCCATTTCTTTTGTCTACTTCTAGACAGATGATCCAGTCTAAGGTGTGACTGACCATGTTAGTCCTTTATGAGTCACCTTATAGACCACCTCCCCATGAGACCAACAGTGGACGTAATAGCTGAAAAGCCTGATACCGTTCTGTATATTTTAAAAGAATCCAGGTTTGGGCTTTGGAAATACTTCCAACAGGAGCAAATTATAGAGAAAACGTCTTGACCTACTGGCTTTCTGCTCCTGCAAGTTTAATTCCTGTGAAAGATAGATGAAGTGATACAGATGGCAAAGATGAAATGGGGCACTCTTCGATAACAAGAACCTGGGCCACTTAAGCTTTGTAGAAAATCAGCATTTTGAATTTCACCCAGAAGTGACTGTCCACCATGCAAGAGAGAAACACACAGTTGTAACATGCTTACGGTCACTCAACTTTAACCAGAAGTAGAGAACTTTACACTTTGTACTAGTCAAAACTTCTTGGGTAGTTCTTAAGAGAATTCTGCACTCATCAAGCCTAGAGGTATCAAAGAGGCACACATACACATGGTGAAAAAATCATATTAAAGTACTTATCCTCTTGATAAAGCCATAGATGAAACAGTATTTGTTGTCATTGATAAAAGCTGAGAGTGTGATGAATCAAATCATACTCAAGAGAATAAATCAGTTTAACAGTGGGTGGGGAAGACACCTCAATCAAGAGACAGGTTAACTGTCCTCAAAATGTTTCTCTCTGACAATCCATACCAACTCAGTCTTATTTGGAGTAAGCTAAAGCCATCCATATCTCACTGTCTGGCTAACCGGGCACAGCATGGATATGTCTGAATACTTCTGAAGGCACAAAATAGAGCTAAGTACAGTCTGCAAACCGATAACAATGTAACCTCTATATATCAAAATGTTTCACCGGCTTTATACAGACTTTGTAAAACAGCAGTGGCAAAACTCAGCCATGTGGGATTCCTCAGCTGTGTCACTGGAAGAAAAAACATCACCCACCATCATCCTCTAATTTCACACTGAAAGAAATGTGTGGACCCAATCTACAGATCCAAGGAATTTAAGGATTTTGGATGTTAGAGTTGGCTTGTCACCATCTTTTTACTGATATTCTTAGAGATAGGAGATTAGAGATTGGGCAATATTAAAGTAGAACACTGGCGCGCGCACACACATGCACACACACACACAGAAATGACATTAACATTCTCTCCAATAAAGTGCTTGTCTTGCCTTTATCAGTCTATCTAGCCCAACCTAGATGCAGTGCCTAGGTGGTTCAACACATTTCCCTCAGTGCACATAAGATCTCTTACTGAAAAACAGATTAATTTAGTCACAGAAGACTGTGTATAATAAAAGACAGGCAAAAAGACCCATCCGACATCACAAGCAGTTCTTGTTTGATTCAAGGGATAAGTAAAGGCATGGGTGGTTCAAGTTTTTGAGAAGTCTCTAAATGGTATGCAGAACTCCAAATATAATGTAAACTTTTTATTTTCATGGTTTAACTTTCAACTTTAACTTTCCATAAAAAAGGTGTTTTACTTTGGGATAATTATACAACTTAGTAACAATTTTTTTCCTACTTGGAAGGAAATGATGAAAATCAAAGATCCTGAAATGAGAACTAAGATTGTCTGATTTGTTTCCTCTGTAGACAAACCAGGTCCACCTCAGAATGTCAAAATCATAGATGTGTGGGGATTCAACGTCGCTCTGGAGTGGAAACCACCTCAAGATGATGGCAATGCACAGATCTTGGGGTACACAATCCAGAAGGCAGACAAAAAGACAATGGTGAGAGACATTGATACTTGCTGATAATTCCTAAACTCACTTGAAATTGGATAGAATGAGAATAGGGCCAGGTAGAGCATGAAAATAGGATGTTGAACCAGAACTTTCAGGGGTTGTGTATCAACTGATACGATTTTTTACCTTGTTCTGAGCACTTGAGTTAAAATAGAGTAGAGTCATGTTGATTTCATTGATGATTATGGTCATTAAAGCTGTGTCTGAAGACTTAGGAAGACAGACCTTTTCCTCTCCACTCATCTGAGGAAGTGGGTTTTGCCCACGAAAGCTCATGATTCTATATAAATATTGTCTGTAAGGCGGGGTCTCAAATCTTTTTAAGCACAAGATCGCTTTTTGAATTTAAATGCAATCCACAATCTACCTCAGACCCAAATACCCTTGCCCCACCTCTTTCATGGCTCTTCTCCAAGGCCCTGCCTCTGTTCACTCCATCCTCCCTCTTTTTCACCAAGCAGGGGCAGAGGATTGGGGCACAGGATCTGGCCTTGGGCTAAAGGATCTGGAATGTTAGTGGGGCTCTGAGCTAAGCCTAGGGCAGGCAACCGGGATGCAGGCGGGGATTCAGGGTACAGGCTCTGGGAAGGAGTTTGGGTAAGAGGGCTCAGGAGTAGGGCAGGGGCTTGGGGCATAGGGGAACAAGACTGGGGTAGGGATTCAGAGCTGGTTCCAGCTGGACTCTGCTTACTACAGATACCTCCTGGATGGTGGTGCAGTGGGGTGTAGGGTTTCCGTCCGCCCCCACAGCATTGCCCGTCGTCAACTGCGGGGAATTGGCTCTGCTGACGGCGATACTACCCAATTCAGGCCATTGTCCTCCGACAGTGCCCACACAGCCTGGGCTTTACCCCTTCCGGGGGGGGGGGCATTCGTTCCTTCTCAGTTATGCCACGGAGGCCGGGGGAGGGGTGCCGGTGTCCGCTGTACTTTCCTGGGCAAGGCACTCCGTGTCAAGTCGGTTAAGGGTGCGGCTATTGCCGCAAAATTAGGTACAAAGCGCCGATAATATCCTGCCAGCCCCAGGAATAGTCGTACCTGCTTTTTGGTTCTCAGTGGTGCGTAGTTTCGCAGGGCCTCGATCTTGTCCACCAAGGGTCTGAGTTGGCCGCGCCCCACAGTGTAGCCCAGGTAGGCCACCTCTCGTTCCCCAAAATGGCACTTACTTGGGTTGGCGGTAAGCCCCGCGTATCTTGGAGTGTGCTGAGTACGGCCTCCACCCTCTGGAGATGTTCAGGCCACGTTGTGCTATGGATGATAACATCATCTATATAGGCTGCAGCGTACTGACCGTGCTCCCTCAAGACTTTGTCCATTAGCCGCTGAAAAGTCGCCGCTGCGCCATTAAGGCCAAAGGGCATTCGGATGAAATGGTACAGCCCGAAGGGTGTCGAGAACGCCGTCTTCTCTCGTGAGGCGGCAGTAAGGGGGATCTGCCAATACCCTCAGGTGAGGTCGATGGTAGAAAGGTACTGGGCCCTCCCAAGGCGATCCAGCAACTCATCTACTCGGGGCATGGGGTAGGCATCAAACCGGGACACGCTGTTGACTTTACGAAAATCGATGCAAAACCGCATTGACCCGTCATGTTTTGGGACAAGGACTATAGGGCTCCTCCACTCACTGCGCGATTCTGCCACTATTCCCCACTGTATCATCCGTTGTAATTCTTCTCGTACTGGTTCCCACATCTTCCGGGGGAGGGGACGGACTGGTTCTCGTACACTTTTCCCAGACTTGGTCGCAATATGATGGTAGGCCCATGTGGTCTGTCTGGGCTGGTCAGTCATCACCCGTGGGAACCGCCGTAGAATAGTCTCCAGGTCTGCCTTTTGCGTCGGTGATAGGCTCACTCCCACCTGAAATGACACTGTAGGGGCGGCCTCCCCTTCCCCCGGCCCTAATTCGGGATCAGGGGGCACTGGATTCACCCACAACCCCTCTCAGGCCTTCCATGCTTTCAAGAGGTTGACATGATATAGCTTGGTCCCCCTCCAACCTCCAGTTAACTTCACCTCGTAATCGACTTCACCCACCCTTTGTACTATTTCGAAGGGCCCTTGCCATTTGGCAAGTAATTTCGAGTCCTGGGTTGGGAGTAACAGTAGGACTTGCTCACCCAGCTCGAAAGTCCTCAAGCGGGTGCCCCTGTTGTAATACCCTGCCTGCGTGGCTTGGGCTAATTCTAAGTTAGTCCTCGCAAACTCCCCAAGGGTATGCAATTTCTGTCTCAAGTTAAGGATGTACTGCACAGAGCTGTGCACCCTGGTCTCCTGTTCTTCCCAGCTTTCCCTAATAATGTCCAAGATCCCTCTAAGCCGGCGCCCGTATAGTAGTTCAAATGGTGAGAAGCCTGTGGAGGCTTGGGGGACTTCGCGCACCACAAACAGTAGCATGGGTAACAATTTGTCCCATTCCTCAGGTTCTTTGCCTGCAAACTTTCGCAACATCCCTTTCAGGGTCCTATTAAACCGTTCGACCAACCCATTGGTTTGGGGATGGTACACTGAGGTTTTCAGGCTCTTTATTCGCAAGAGTTGGCACAACTCTCCCATCAGTTTGGATGTAACGTTTGTACCCTGATCCGTCAGGATCTCCTTGGGTACTCCCACCCTGGCAAAAATCTTTATCAACTCTGATGCCAGGTTCGGTACGGTGGTGTTTCATAATGGTACCGCCTCGGGGTACCGTGTGGTGTAATCGATTACCACTAGTATATACTGGTGCCCCGCCTTCGTTCTTTCCAAGGGGCCCACCAAGCCCATGGCAATCCTTTCAAAAGGGACTTCTATCACGGGAAGAGGGATCAGAGGGGCTTTTGGTACCCCTTTTGGCCCTGCCCGCTGGCACTTGGGGCACGAGCCACAAAAGTCCTTCACCTCCCTATATATTCCTGGCCAGTAGAACTTCTGCTACACTCGCTGCCGGGTCTTCTCGTATCCCAAGTGTCCCGCCCACGGGTTGGCATGTGCCAGCTCTAAGAGCTGAGGGCGATATCTCCGGGGAACCAATAGCTGATGCACCAAGCCACCCTCTTCCTGCGATCCGGTACAGGCGGTCTTGGCATACCTCGAAGCGGGGGCTCTTGTGCTTTCCCTCCTCCTCGGTAACCAGATCGTCCGCGTCCCTGGCGTCAGCCCAGGCGCGCTGAAGTGCCAAGTTCTCTCGTTGTTCTCGTAGGAAGTCCCCTTCCCATACACCAAGGGGGGAGTAGATGTCCTGGTCTTCACCCTCCCCCTGTGGAGGGTTGGCTCCCAGGTCTCCATCCATATTCATAGGGCCGCCGTCTGGCTGCTCAGTCTGCTGGCCCGGTCCCCCAAGCAACCCTTCCCGGGTCAGAAGGGTACCCTGGCGTTGCCATTCACCCATGGCCCTTCAAAAGCCACTCCAATCTCACCCCAGTAGAACGGGGTATACCAAATTCGGGGCTACCACCACATAACACCAACTTACTTGGTCGTTATCCGCTATTCGGACCCAAATAGTGGGATATTGGTGCACGTCCCTGTGTACACACTGCACGCACACAGGCGGCCCCCTCGGGCCTCCCTCCTCGACTAGCTCCGCCCTTACTATAGTTTGGCTACAGCCGGAGTCTACAAATGCTAGGACCCGGTGGTCCCCTATCTGGACCTGTCTCAGGATTCGACCTCCCCTCCCATTGTTGAGGACCCTCTCTCCCGTCAGGGCCTGTGCATAGGTGCAGTCCATGTACGGGCAGCGCTTTTGAAAATGGCTTTCCAGCCCGCCCCTGTCGCAGGCCCCCTTAGGCGGTCCCAGTTTACTTGGAGCCTTTCCGCCTTCACCCAGGGTGGGCTGCTTTTCTTGAGGAGCACCCTTCAATGGCGTTGTCCATGCTGGAGCCAGCCTCCTTCCCGCCCCCTGACCTCCTACTTGGCTTCGATCCCTCTCAGGGCTCCCCTTTTGTCGCCATGGCCAGGGGAGTTTGGTCCTAGGGGGAGGGCCGGTCCTACCTGGGCTGCTCGTTCCTTCCGCCATTTCTACAGCCTTATAGTCGTTCCTCAGGTCGACCGCCTCATCTACGGTTGACGGGGGGCACCGTCGCACCACGCGTGGCCCTCCACTGGGGAGGATAC